AATCGGAGGATTTTCGTGGAGTACCTGACGCGACAGCAGTGACTATGGTGTTGGCTAGTAGTGTTTATTATGCTAATAACAGAAGGACTAAAAGTGTTGCAGAGGAAAGAAAATCACATTTTGCATGTCTAAGGGTGCCTTAGAGCTGGTACAGGTTAGAATTGATAAGGAGCACCGTTGATGATAAGGCTGGAACCCATATTTAGAAGTGGCATCTCACGATACAGCGTGACAATCCCAGTTCGTTTGGGTTGAGTCCCTAGCGCTGACTAACCGGTTACTGCCGGCTGGCTCTACCGGTCTTTGGATTGGTGTGAACCGCTGACTCGCGCGTGCGCGGCAGTCTCGTACTCCCTCCGTGACTCTGGCAGCAGAAACTGCTGTTGCCCACGGCACTACAGGCCGTGCAGCCTCGAGCAGTGCATGCTATGTAAGTTTAATCAGCGTGAAAAACCACGTTTATCCATGTCCTGCTACGCGGTCAATCTGACGGTAAACGCAGCATGGGTCCTCCCCCCTGGGAGTCTCATTAACAGAGTAAGCGTAATCGGCAAGACGACGACCAAACCCCCCGACCTCCCCCTGCACTCCGCCCACCCAAAGACACGCCAGCAGTTAAGGCGTAAATTAGCAAGATAGCGACGTTAAAGGCGTGAATAGGGACTAGGATGATGGCTGACAAATTGGTCTACGACAGTGGTGACAATGGTATTTTACCGCTTCCTAGATGTCCTCGTTTGCAGCAAAGACGGTGGTGGCCTTAAAACTAATGTGTTCAGGAAAGCGGCCAGCACTGTGCAAGTCCTGAGCTTCAACAGCAACCACCCGATCAATCACAAACGCAGCTGCATAAAAGCGCTTTATCGGCGCGTTGAGACGCATCGCATTGAAGAGGAAGAAAAAGTTACTGGATTACAATATCTCCGACGGGTACTGAGAGCGAATGGTTACCCGCACAATTCCGTCAGCGTGTGCGTACGCAGATGAGAGAAGAAAACACATCCAAATGGCCCTAATGTTCGGCGAGCTCTTCCGTATCTGAAGAATGTATCGGAAGAAGTCAGCCGCCTGGTTAACCCACTTGGATTTGGAGTTGTGTACAGGCCGGAAACAGTCATCATGCGGCGAAAGACCCACTGTCATGACAGGAAACGGCCGGAGTCGTTTACCGGATCTTGTGCGGTCGCGGATGAGGCAACTACGTCGGAAATACCGGTAGATTATTCCGGATGCAAATGGCTGAGCATGCAGCGGCGGTGAGTAAGAAAGAAACTAACCCCCAGGTTGCAGCTCACCTGTCAGACTCGACCATATCCTTGAGTTTAACGAGGCCGAAATACTCCTAAGAAGTG